TTGTGCTTGGCTTATTCACTCAGCCTCTTTCATGGTGATGGAGGTGTGGTCCAAGAGCAGACTCACTTATTCCCAATGCTAACCCATTGCTCGGGTAGCAGAAGCAATTTTCTCATACGGCCTCTCCTTACTAACAGCAAAGCTGTTTCAGCAGTTCTAAAATAGTCATTTCTAAAGGCTGGCAAGCATTGTGCTCAAATTCATGTTCTACTCTTGTCCTAACAGAATTATGTCACAATAGTGAAAAATGCTGGGTTTGGGGGAGAGTGGAGTGTGTCGGAGACTGTACTCTATGATGGTTGGGTATTTTCTCCATCATCGAAGCCTGAATTAGAAGAACATCACAGATGCACGGTGCATTGGACGTGGAGCACGTGCATGCATTTAAATCACGTATATCTTACTTTTTTACTGATGTAATTGTGAAATATGTTCTTTTTGCATTCATAATTAGGGGGTGGAACAGATGGTGAAGGCTTAGTTTAAAATAATCTGTCATTAAAATAACCTAGCCTACTGGTAATTCTTCACTCTAACTGGAGTTAGGTCATAGGAAAAGAGTTCGAGGTGATTTTTTTTTTCTCTTCTGCATTGGAATGTAGAAGAAAGCAACACAAATTTCAGAGTAGTTATGTATATGAGAATTGTCCCTAGAAAGGCACCACAGTAAGATTTCAGTCTGTGAAATTTGGCTGCAGCAGAGTATGCAGAAAAAAAGAAAGCAGAGACAAAACTACTTTGACAAATATAAATCCATTTAGCACAACGCATTAAACACTAGTATACCTTCAATCATAAGGCTCTAGTTAGTTTCATACCTTGCAAGGAAATAACCTCATCATTTGACAAATAACTGTTAGAGGCACTCAGCTTTGGGGGTTAAGAAACTGTGCCTTACACTTTATATGTTACACTGATGTCAGGGGATATAAATTATAATTACTGGCATTATTATTCAGAGATGCTGTAGCTCCTGACTTGTGTATCCAGGCATCACTCCTCATAGACTTACTGGGATGTGACAAAGAAAAGCTCCTATCAGCCCTGTTGGGATGGCTAAGAACTGTCTTGATAAATCAGATATTTGCACGCCTTTAAAAACGTCTGTTTTCCTGTTTCTTCTAAGATTTTGTTCTCCATCTGCTTTGAGGAAAGCAGATAGATTTCAGCATGGCTTTATAATAAATCTTCTCAAGGAAGGACTAGCGTTAACATTTATGTAGGTTCTTTTTCATCTTAATCCAACCTTAGTTAATAATCAGAAAATTCTACATAGTGAGTAAGAAGATGTAATTAACCCTTTGACCCCAGAATCTTAATTGGCGCCTGTTGAAAACAGTGGGCAGTTAAAAAAAAAATTAAAAAGTAGCCTGCAGTGATTGAAACAGCTCAGTATATAGTAGCTTTCTTGATTCAAAATTTTTAAAAATTCCACAGAACTTTTAGATTAATCACATTTGGTTCGCAAGACTAACTAATTGAATGTTTCCTTCCTCCTCCCACCTTTTAAAATTGAGACACTCACATTAAACCAATATTGATGCTACCCTTAAAACTTTTCTAAGCAGCAAAATACAGCTAACTATAGCCAGGGATGACCCTGAATCAGAAGGTAATGGCTAGGTGAAGAGCGACCTTGCCAGTCCGCCATAGACCTGGTTTCATATCCCATTCTTTATTTGAAAGGTAATCAAACCTGAGTTATGGACATTCATCTCCTGCTATAGATATAATTGACTGAAATGATAAGTATAACTGTGAAAAATAAGGTTAACTAACCAATTTTGGTTTATTTTTTTATCTCTGTGATGACAAACAACTAATCTAACTAGTTGTTTTCTTCCCCCCACCAAATTGGCTATTATTTTTAATTGAATTGAGGAGATGTTTTGTGTCATGTAGACATAGACTCATTTTAATCTCACCAGGAAATTGGAACATGTGTCAAAGCCTCTGCGTCTGCCAAATAAAACTGGCCAGTTCTTAGATCGCTGCTGCTTAATAGCATCAGATGTTTAGCCTCCAGATATTTATTTTTTCGGCTATGGTGCCCAAACCTCCTCTAGTACTTTAGTAAATACGTGAGATATGAACCTAAAGTTAAAAAATCGCAGTCCCTTTTAGTGAGAAAGTAAAGGATGTGTGCACGTGGCAAATGAATAGCACTGGATGTTTTGGAGGACTGTGTTAGAATCCAGTCTAACTCTGATCTTCCAAGTGTTAGGAGAGTCCCAGATGATGTTAGACATCTGTGGCATCGGAATCTGAAAATATTCTAATAGCTCTGTAAACAGGCCTCTTGGAGAAAATAATTTCCCTTCCTCTCAGTCACTCTAGCCCGTGAGATGTAAGGGAAGGAGCATTGGGCCGGGAGGTAGAGCTGGACTTGCTAAGTCTTGGTTGAGCAGTTGTTAGGTGTTGACTAGATAAAGATGAGTAAGACATAGCGCCACTGCTGAGAAATTCAGTCTCCTTGGGAGCTAAGCCAACTAGGACCATACAATGTCATAAATGGTTTAATAATATGATGGGAGTGCAGCAGATTTAATTCTGGCTCTGCCACTAGCTGGCTGTATGCTCTCAGCCTCTCTGTGCCTCAGTTTCCTTACCTGTAAAATGAGAGTTTGGACCACAGGCAATTGTCTCTATGCCAGCTCCATCAGTCCTTTTTTCTTCTCTCAGCCTTCTGATTGTCGCCTGTCCCCATAGAATTCTCCTATGATCTCTCTCTGTGTCCCTCTAATCTGACAGTGACATTTTAAGGTTCGAGAAGATGGCTTCCACAGGTCTCTGTGATTGTATGCCAGGCATGGCTATTAGGCTGACTATAAAACCTACCCAGGCCCTCTTCTCCATGGGGAAGGTCAAAAGGGGGAGAGTCTTAATCCTCATGAGTCATCCTCGGGAGACATCTTACTTGAGGTAAAGACGTGTTGAAATGAGATCCTTCCCAAACTCCTACAAAGGAAACTTCTCTCCCTTTGCACTGGTTCAAAGGTTCCACTGTGCCACACTCTGAGCTCGAAAGGCGTATCTCACCAGGCTCCAGAAGGTGTGGCAGTTTGGTCAAAGGTAAGGAGCCCAGCAAGCAATATTTTGTTCCCTGTCCCATAGTTGGTTCCAGGGAGGTACTACAGAGCACAGGGGACAAGGTGACCTCTTGTGGAATTGACTTATGAACTCTGTTGTCATCCCACTTCCCATTTGTCTCCTCCTAACAATAGGATTCTACCATTTGAACAAATTGTTGAAAAACAAGTGATGATTTTTAAGAAGTCATGGGCTGCCTCTTAGTATAAATATTTTAACTTCAGAAATGCTATGACAGTTTTTCTTCTCATTAATTTACATGTATCAATTAGAGAATCTTTATTTTTAGTGAAAGGCGGTATAGTTATTAAGTCCAACTGTCAGAGTTTGAATCCTAACTCCATCACGAACTAGGGACAGGTGTGTTGCCTAACTTCCATGAACTTCAATTTCCTTGTATATAAAAAGTAGGTAATAATATAATTACCTCAAATGATACTTGTGAAAATTAAAAGACACAATACATGCAAACTGCTTAGCACACATTGCTTAGTAAATGTAAGCTATTATTATGTAGTGTCTTGACCAGACGCTCGTCTAGCATGTAATTTGCTTTTTTGTGGAGCAATACAATGTGACTTTTGAATGGTTTTCAAAACCCACTAAGTCAGAGGAGGACGCTGAGTGCTACCCACAGTTTCTGACCAGCGGGGCTTTGAAAACAGATCAGGAAGCATGGAATCCAAATTTCATATATACGTATAAATACATGTGCATACGTATTCCCATATACATACATACATATATATCATATATATTACATATAAAGCTCAAAAAAAAGTTTAGTGTTTTAAGAGATTGAAATTATTGTTGAAGTTTGAGGCAGTCTATTTTTCTAACCGAATTTTACATGCTTCTTCTACATTTCTACATCTAAAAATTATGTCATTAATTTAGTGTTGCCACATACCTCATTCCCATTGTGGGTTTCCTGTGTTTCCAAGTCCACAGCCTTTGTAAATACCACCTATCTTTAAAATTTCTTTTCCTGTGCAAGCAGTACTTGCGCAGTCTACCTGGTTATACATAAGTAATACAAAACAAAAGATATGAGGATGAGGGAGGGTATAAAATGCACTTGGATTGCAAGAATTTGAAACAAATTAATTCTCAGTTTGAGTGGTGTATTGCAGCTGGAGTCCATGATGATTTACACCATTCATCAAACTGAAAATGCAGCCCTCCACTTGGAAAGTGGACTGGGGTTTCAAGAGCTACAGATGATCTGTAGCATCCTTGTTTTTTTCCTCCTTTCTTTTGTTTCCATTTCAGAAGTTGTAATAGAAACTAGCTCTATCACAATAAAAACTTTAATACAGAGTTTTGCAGAAAAGGATTACAGTCTATGAGGTTTCAGCCTGTGAACATTCACTTATAATGTATTGACTTTTCCTATTTGTTCTAACACAATAGGCCCTGGGAGTGAGGAGGGCATAATCCTTTATTAATTAGGAAATTATTGATGTCCATAGTAGGTCAAGTGGTGATTTTGCTTGCTCTTCCTATAGGAACCCTTTTTTCTCTTGTTTCATTATAATTTCCATTTCTGTTCAGCTATTTAATGGAGAATCTTGCTGATTTAATCTCAGTAACTACTGAGTCCAAAAAAATAAAGGCAACATCTTATATAATCAGCATGACCTGATTTTAGACACGAATGTAATGTATCTTGATCAAAATGACAGAGGCCTGAGGAAGTCCCTGAAATAAAGGAAAGCTTGTAGTCTCAATTCAGACCTTTAATTTGTTCACGTATAATGCAATAGTAAAAGATCTTAGGACTTTTGTGAAACATGAAGGGAAAAAATGGTCTTAAATTCAGTGTGTGTTGCTTTGTATCAGATGCCTTATTAATTAAATCTCCATCATATATATTTATTAACCTATTTATGTATTTATTTCCTCTGCAGTCCCTGGATGGCTTTGTATTTGCACTAAATCAAGAAGGAAAATTTTTGTACATTTCCGAAACAGTCTCCATCTACCTAGGCCTCTCACAAGTAAGTAAAACAATTTAGATTCTTAAAGGCGACTGGGAAGGCTCCTTCAGCCTCGTGCTTTTCCTTCCTCAACGGATATTCTGTTTAGCATGGATTATCAAATTTATTCTTTAATGGCTCTACTTGACTCTTCTCACAAAGTCAGTTAGAAAATTGTATGTCAGTTTGGCACGTTCGGGATAAACTTGCGCTCAAAAACTTTAGTCCCCCTCCCCACCCCCAAGGATCGTTATTAATTTATTGAGAACAAATGAAGTTTCTGTCCTCCGTTGTTTTGAACTTTGAAACCTCTGTGCCCGGTAGGAGAGGGACACGCTAATAGTGCTTCCCTTGTGTCCTATTACTGGATGTTTATGGAGTACCCTGCATTATCCTGGGAGCTGACACAATGACAGGGAGTCATTTGGAGTCAAGAAATGCTGAAAGAGACCATTAAAATGTGTTGCAGGGAGGGTTCCAGCAAGATATATTTTGCTGCCTTTGCAAATGCTTCCTAATGCTGGAAGACAATTTCATAAAATAAGATAGCTTTTCATTATTTGCAGTTTAATTACTCACATGTGTCTGTCAGACGTTAAAAGAAAAGAAGTTGGAGGCAGATAGGGCAAGGGACAAAATCCTAGATGTTAGTTCTTGATATTCCCCTGGAACACAAAAATTTTACTTCTGTTGGATTCTAAGACACAGGCTGCATCTACAGAATGCCAAAATACCCTGCAGAAAAGTTTGCAATTCAACTAATTATCCAGATGTTTTCCCCATAAAAATGCTGAACATCTGGATATTTGTGCCCACACAGGTGATTGGCTGAGTCTGACCCTTTCATCTGCTGGTTTGGCATGAGGAAAACACAGCCTCGGTGGGAGGGATTTTGTGTGTGTGCGTGATGGTCTGCCAAGTTGGATAATCTACTTCTCATTCAGTTGCCCCTTGGAGCTAAAGATAGAGATAAGATTTGTCTCTCTCTTCTTAAGCAAAACCCACCCAGACTCATTGCTTCTGAAAGTTGGCACTGCTCTAAGGAGGCATCCAGCATGGCTGGACCCTTTGGCTGTTAATGAGTTTGCTGGTAATAGCTAAATCAGGAAAGACACTGGGAAATAATAAAGAGAGATATGTGGCATTTGAGAAAGGTTGGGGGAGGAGGAGAAATACTGCCAAATTTAATTATTTACTGTTGAGAATCCAAACAAGGGTCCATTAACTCTTTCTTGAAGAACATGCAAGCTATTGGCTGTCGTGTATAGAGTAATTCTATTTTATGTGAATTTCAGCAAACCAAATGATAGCAACTGGGCTGTTGTTAACTCAATATTAGTGCCCTTGCATTTCGTTGAAGTCTCTGGTTTTATAATATCCTTTAATAGACTTTAAGCCTTGTCTTAATCTGTTTGGGACCTAGTATTGAGAATCTCCAATTTTGAAATGGGTGTGCCACCATAATAATACTGTATAGAACTGGAAACACCATTGTTTGTTGTTCTGCAATGCCCATTTTCATCTGTTTTATGTAGAGTACCCAACAAAGTTTAATAAGCCAGTGAAGAAGGATGAATAATTAGTTTAAGCAGGTAAATGCTAATTAGGGGACTCCTGAAAAGCATCCATTATACACTAGCTCAAAACACATTTTACAGCCCTGGTTAGTGGTGTAATCCAAATTCTGTCAAGGCAACTGCATTTTCTGTAATTGAGATGTGTATGTTTGCTTTGCATAACAGATGGCTCTGTATGCTTAGACTGATAGCTAGGAAAATAATAATTGCATTATTCTGGCCAAAAGAATATTAGCTCTTGGGTTTTGGCCATTTCAGTCAGTCCTCCTGCCAGCACAGCATATGCACATATATGGATTGGATTTTCAAGGAAATTGATGCATCTGGAATAGTGTGGCCATCTGAAATATCATCTGTTCAAGAAAAATTTGGCTTTAACCCTGTGCTGGTTTCTCCTTAAAGGCAGTGTATTTTACTGCTTCTCTGCTGTAACATTAAGTCAATCTTTTCCTAAAATCTGAGACAGATAATTGAGGTTTCTGCAGAATAAAGCAGCTGTGTAGACATGGTACAGTAGCTGGCTACTTCTGTGCAGCCATTCCCTGCTTTTGTCTGTGATGGGTTTTAAAGTGCCTGTCAATAGTCAGCATCTTGACTTACCCAGGGGGAGACGCTGGCTGCGGTGTGCTCGTGCCTTCTGTGCTGGATGTGTTCAGTGTTGCCCAACATGTTAAATATGCAGGTAGTTATGAGGTATTAGACAGGGGTCTTCATTTGGAGGCATTATGCAGCCGAAATGACAAAGAGTCACTCACTAGAAAGTGATTTTTGCATATACCGATGTATGTATTTAGAGTTCAAAACTAAAGTTTAAGCATAGTTCTGGGTTGGGGGCCGACCCCGTGGCCTAGTGGTTAAGTTTGGTGCCCTCCGCTTTGGCGGTCCGGGTTCGGTTCCTGGGAACGGACCTACGCTGCTCATCAGCAGCCATGCTGTGGCAGTGTCCCACATACAAAATAGAGGAAGATTGGCACAGATGTTAGCTCAGGGCTAATCTTCCTCAAGAAAAAACAGCACAAAACAAACAAAAAAAAGAATAGTTCTGGATTAACATGAAAATAATCTGATAAGAGAGTGGTGTGTTTTTAAATGTCAAAGAATGAGGGAGGAAAAATCTATGCTAAAACTTTGGGAAAGGATTTCCAGCCCTGTTAAAGTTCCCAGTCCTGATAGAGTAATTGGGGATCCCTTCCCAGGTTTCTTCAATGCCCACTTTCGGTTGCCGGTGTGCGCGGTGCTCACGGGTAACATACAACGTAAAATGTTCTCAGAGTTAGTCGATTAATATTTGCTCTTTTAAACACACACACACCCTTAATTAAATGCAAACCAAACACTCTGCTTGTGTTCTACAACTTTGGCTCAGTGATTATTCCATCAAATTCTAGACAGTGATAAGGAGTCTATGAAGTTATGATCTCCCCTTTCCTTTTAAACAGTTTTGTTCAGTAAAGACAAGGTGTAGTTGTATCATCGAAGATTTATCCAGTGAAGTTGCTGAGGAATATTATGAGCATGTCAGTTCTTTAGAACCTAGCTGTGTCTGAATTTGTAACTCTCAAGATATTCATTCCTCAGTTTTATTTTCTTTCAACACATAAATAAGTATGGTGGCTTTAGAGAGGCTTATGTTCAGGAAAGAATTAAGATTCTTTTTTGGCTCATGAGAAAACTAAGGAGAGAAACTTCTGCTGAGCTCTGTTGTGTGGCTTGAATACAGAGGCAGCCAGAGTGGATTTTTCTTCTACATCCGTTGTAACGGTCCCTGGTGTCCAGGATGTGTGCGTGCCAGTTGTTCTCTTTAAAGCATTTTCATGGTGTCACGTTGATGGGAATGAAGTGATCTATGATGATGTCCCTTAGCAGCCCTTTTGACTTTGCCGGAAGTAAATGTTTAATTTAACATCAAAGATGTGGTTTTATGTTGTAGAAATATGCAATGTTGATTTGCTTGCCTGGGTAAAAATGATTCCTGGGGCTTGCCCCATGGAGTAGTGGTTAAGTTCACACGTTCCACTTCGGCGGCCCAGGGTTCGCGGGTTCGGATCCCAGGTGAGGACCTACACAGTGCTCATCAAGCCATGCTGTGGCAGCGTCTCACGTATAAAATAGAGGAAGATTGGCACAGATGTTAGCTCAGGGACAATCTTCCTCAGCCAAAAAAAAAAAAAAAAAAGGATTCCCAGTGTCTCACCATGAGGCCTTATCTTAAAGGAAGATCCCTTAAATATCGATGCTGAGTTTGGTTTGCATGGAGGTTAAATGACTTCTTATACCTGGTGATGGTGTTCAGAGATGCTGAAGACAACTCTGCTCTCCTGCTATTATGGAATAAGCAGAAGTGAAAATGAAGAAAGATAACATAGTAGATTTGCTAATACTGCAAATGTAGCAATGATATGTAGCCATCTTTTATGAAATCTCTTCCAACATGTAAGGGGCTTAATCACCAGATATTCCAAAAGAGACTTTATATGATAAATAAAAAGCATTTCTAGTTTGATATAAGACTTAAAACTTAGAGAAATATGTATTTGTTGGCTTATACCCTCCTCTTTCCATGAAGGAAATAGCTTACATAAACATTTATTATAAAAAATAATGGCAAAATAGAACTAGGGTATACAGAAAAAAAAATAAAAGTAGGTAATCTGTTACCACATAGTAGAAGAACACAATAGAAGCTTATAAAAAGGGATATAAATGGTCTGATAAAGCTTCAGATTTAGCTATGAGCTTCCTGGTAACCAAAGCAAAAAGAGAAATACAGCCACCCATCAAAAATAAGGAAGCACCACTTCTTAAGGAAAGTGAAGTTTTTCTAGAACTGAAATAGAAAAATAAATCTTAAATACAATTTCTGTAGGAGCTAATATGTGGATCATGACATTGATTTGCTTCCATTGGAATCTGCATTCAGAGCAAGGTTGTAATGACCCATTTAACAAACATGAACACACATATTGCAAATCTCATAAGCAGGCAGAAGACACTTAACCCCTAAGATGTTGGTGTGCCAAAGATCGTTTTGAGAGTGATGTTCTGGCATCCAGGCCTTACAATAACATTCACCAATTTGATGGTTTATGTGCTTTTCAATCACCTTTCTCTCATCCATATACAAATCCTGCATTTTCTTTTAAATACTGATGAAATATTCAACATTTTAATTGCCACGAGTCTCAGTTAACCAGAGGATAAAAATGGACTCATGTCTTCTGAAAACAGTTTTCCTTGAAAGGGACGTAAGAGGTGATGATTCTTATGCACACCTGTGCCAGCAAAATGTTTTCAAGTTAACATGGAGTCCTATTTAAAATAAAATGGGATCTAGAGCAAACTGGGAAATTAACAGATTTTACGTTGTGATATTATTAGAAAATACCCTACAGCCAGCTAAGCCCTCTCTTGCAATGCATTCTAATCACCCCCAATGGCCTCCAG